TTTTCTTCCAATATTGCCCCACCAATAATCTTGCAGCTGTTATAAGGTTCAACATCAAATTAATTTCTTTAACATCAAAATCTACAATAATACCCAACAAAAACAATTGCGGAGTAAACTTTATCTTTCTCTTAAAAATCTTTTGAATATTCCACCAAATCTTAATCCAAAAAGCTTTAATATCTTTACAAGTCCACCAAATATGAAAATAAGTTGCATCTAAATTTCCACATCTCCAACATTTGGACTGTAAATTCGGATACATGCGAGACAACCTTTGGGGATCTAAATGACATCTATAAAACATTTTATAAAAATTTTCTTTTAAATTTTGCGCCTGAGTAAATTTTACATTTCTAACCCAAATTGTCTCCCATGTATCCAATAAAATCGGCTCTTGAATATTTTGCGCCCATTTGATCAATTTAACTAATTCTGTTTCAGAATCCAATTCTATTAAAACATTATAAATTCTTTTTATACGAGTTCGACCTTGATCTTTAATCTGTTTTACCAAATTCACATCCTCTAAGGTGATACCAACCTTTTTATCTAAACTCCACCTCACTAACAATTGATTATAATGAAACCAAGAGTGTACAATATTTTCTTGCTTCAACTCAATCAATGACTTTAATTGCCAATCTTGCCCAACCAAACTAAGTAATTCCTTATAAGAAATCTTATCCAAATTCACTCCCCTGGATACTCCCTCTATTACATCCAGGAATCCCCCAAATTGGAATTTTATAATTTAACCTATAATAATATTTTTTCCAGACACGCAACAAGGCACTTCTCAAAATAAGGGTTTTAAAAACCTGATCAACTTTTTTATCATAAATTAAATAAGCGTGCCATCCATATAATAAATCCCATCCCTCAAGAGAAAGAATATTTTTATTTGTTAAGTTGAGCCAATCACTAATCAAGGTTAAAGCCGCTGCATAATACAATTTTAAATTAGGCGCTTTAAGTCCTCCTCTTTCCCGTATATCTTGTATAATCTTGAATTTAACTCTTGGCTTTTTTCCTGCCCAAATGAACTTATTAATCCCTTTATGCCATTACTCCAAATTAACATCTTTCTTCAAAATAGGTATCATTTGAAACAAGAAAAGAAACTTTGGAAGTATATTCATTTTAACTGCTGAAATTCTCCCCAACAAAGATAATTGTAGTTTTTTCCAATCATTTAAATCCTTTTGCACTTTTGCCCATAGTATCTCATAATTATTTTTATACAATTTAACATTAGAAGCTGTGATATATACTTTCTCACTATTTCAAAACCTGTTAGTTTAATCAAAACATCCTTTTCCTTCATAGACATATTTTTCGATAATATTTTAGTCTTATTATTATTTACCTTAAAACCAGAAACCTTCCCATACTGAATTAAATTTTTACCAAATCCATAACCGAGTCTGTCGGTTGAGATGTCACAATCAAATCATCAGCAAAAGCTCTCAACCTATAATCATTCTTATTTATTTTTATTCTCTTTATTCTAGGTGACTCCCGAATTTTAATAAGTAAAATCTCCATTGTTAAAACAAATAACAATGGGGATAAAGGACATCCCTGTCTTGTACCCTTTTCAATTTTAAATGCTTCTGTTAAACCCCCATTAACTATAATTTGTGCAGATTGCTGTTGATATATTGCCTTAAGGGCAGATAAAAATTTATCCCCAAAATTTATTTCCTCTACTACTCTGAGTAAAAATTGCTAATTTAATTTATCAAAGGCTTTTTCAGCATCTAAAAAAATCAAAGCCACAGGGATTTGATTGTTCTTGTCTAAATACTCAATTAGATTAACAATTTGTCTAACATTATATTTCATATATCTTCCAGATATAAATCCAGATTGGTCACTATAAAACAATTGTTTCAAAACTCGCATTAATCTATTTGCCAATATTTTTGAAAAAAATTTATAATCTGTATTCAAAAGAGATATAGGCCTATAATTTTTGGGCTGAGTCAAATCTTGATCCTCCTTCGGAATCAATGATATAAAAGCCCTTCTCCATGATGGAGGTACCTCTGCTCCCAATAAAATATTATTAAAAAGTTCCTTCAATGGTTCTATCATTTCTTATCAATGAAAAGGAGGATATTATAAGAAATAACTTGTTTATGAATAAACTGTTATGAAGTTTATCTCTGATATATTATAATCCAGAACATCAGGTGCTGGCTTACAAACCTACAAATACAATACTGGATGATTTATAAAAGATTAGCAAGCGTTTTTTTTTTTAAAAAAAAGAATAAGTGGTTTATTCTATTACCACTAAAAAAGGAACTAAATGAATGCTTGGTGGATAAAAGGAAGTAATTGCATGAAAAAACATTTCTGCACTTGGTTCTGGTACTAAATACACATTCCTGGACTGAAAATTTTTTAGTGTCCTGTTACTTAATTTTTGCCTAAATCCACTCATCTGAGCGACTCTTTTGCATCTTATTTCTACTTAGATGTCAGAATTCTTGGCAGAAAAGATAGCCCTAAAATCTTATTTATACTACATACTTTCATTATACTGCTAAAATAAATGTGTTTTAAAATTGTTAAAAATTCACCACTATTGCAAACTGTTAAAACTGTCATGAGAAACAAATAGTATTGTTAAAAAATGAACACAAAACTAGCTATTTAACAATTACAGTGAAATTTAGAATCAATTTTTGTTTTCAGAAAGTGATCCCATAATGCCAGAAATGATTACATGAATCCTTAATTGATTTGATTTCATGTATCAGCATTTTCCTGCTAGCAATAATCAGTTATTCTCTAGGTAATTCATCTACTTTCTGTCTTTACTGAATATATATTTCTAAGGGGGAAAAGGAAAATCTACATAAAGTTGGCATCACTAACTATGCTTCCATTCTTTCTGAGCAGTTGGTGCTGGCAGAACTAAAGCATTAGAGTGTCTACTTGGCTGCTGTATTCAAACCACTTATCCAGGAACATATCCATTTTTGTAACTATGATTGCTTTCAGTGGTTACACCTTTATGTGCTTCTTCTCATGTTACCCTTTCATATACGTCAGATGACTTGTTTACATTGAGCCATGAGTTTTGAAATATGAATCAAATGTGCTTCCTTTTTGGCTTAAAAAGAATAAGAATCCAGATTGTATTAAGAAGAGAAACGATCTGAATTTCTCTTGGCCTGTTCCAGAAGATTTCCCAAACTTCCACAGATTTGAGGACTTCATGAAAAAGTATTTTGATCTCTCAATATTTCTGTTGATGAAAAGGACATAATTGGATCCTACCCCTGCAACTGATGAGTTTTTAATTTTCTACTAAAAAATATTTTAGAAAATATTGGGTTGGATATCTTCACCTCTGCTCATAAAAGGGTGCTCTTCTATGTTAATTACAGGATTGTAGAATTAAATCTAAAGATATTTAAACTTTGGCAAACATTAAATGTATTACTGAATCTATTGTATGTTTGCACAAACCAAAATGGCTAATTTCAGAGGGTCTATACATAAACTGATGTATTATGTCAATTAAAGCAAATGCCATATTTTATATCAAGGGTGTCAAACTGCCGGCCCGTACTCATGACACTATGCCCACCCCATTGCCGGCAACAGCAAAACTCTCCCGATACGTTGTGCGACATCATGTGACGTCACGAGTTTGACATGTCTGTTCTATATGATGCAATTAAAATATTAAATTCAAAAATAATGACTAGAAGCATTAACAATGTTGCAGTTAATTATTACAAACATATAACTACTATAGAAACTTTGTAGACTGGAACATCTGTATCTTCCATAAAGTAAGTTCAGAGTAAGGCAATAATCATGCTTAATTTGCATTATCAGATATTCTAAAATATTTAAATGAAGTTAGCAAAAGAATGTAACAGCCAAAGGTAAACATAAGTTAAACATCAGGAGTGTACTCTCCAAGCTATTTGTTTTGTTTTTTTAAAAATCCTATTTTCTGGGAGTAGTCTTATAACACTTCAAGGTACACACATCAAAGTAACAGGAAACCTAATTGCTTTTATGTATTTAGTTTTTTTTTTAGTGTTCTTCCTCATACAGCTGGTTTTATCACACAGGCTGCAATTCTCCAGCCATTCCAAAGTACCATTTATTGACTTTCACAGAATGAATTATCTTCAGGCTCCTATCTTGGATGCACACTATAGTCCACTAAGTACATGTACTTGGAAAGTTGACTTCAGGCAAATAACATTTATCAAACACATTGTCTATGCTTGCCAGGTGTCTATCAAGTCAAGCCAATCTACAGAAAATTCTAACAACTAGTTGTTTTCAATTATACTTTTTCTAACATGAAAAATATAGAGTCATTTGTTTTTATTCTAAGGACACATGGTCATTTTCTAGGACATTATAAATTCCAAATATGTCTGTTCAAAAACTCCATTATTTAAAAAGCTCAAAACCATGGGAATATGGTAAACATTGCTATAAGTGCTTATGTTTTAACAAACTAAAAATCAATGCTCAAAATTGCGATTTCCTATTGTCCTTTTACCATTAAAATATACAAATTCTTCATTAGCTAAGATCTTGAAAATAAATTGAATGCATAGATATCTTAGAAGTGAAAGACATCATAATAAATTCTACCTATATTTAACTTTTTATAATATTTTGCACCAATAATACCAAAACACAGTTATTACAGTTTCTGGCTGTAGATAACTATTTTCAAAATTCCTTAATGAAAACATACCAGCAGTTGACAGCACTCCACAACTTTTAACTTAGTCATTAAATTGTAAAGAACTTCTTTGAAAGTAGAGCCTCAATAGGTGAATCCCTCTTATATATTTTACAGCAGAAAAATCTGTTATAAATCTCCTCTCTGCCAATAACCTAAGAATTGGACTTCGACTTTTTCTTTAAAGGGAAAACCCATTGAGCAATTGAAGCATCGTTTTTCCTTATTCAGACCTCTGGTTGAGACATCAAGTTCTTGAACTTACCTCTTTTTTTTCTTTCTTTTTTTTTAACGAAGGCAATAGCCTCAGAGCAGGAACTCAAAGTCTTCTAACACCCAGCATGAACTAATTCTTTAGAGCTTCCAGGCTCTTTAGTACTTGCCGCTCCTTCTGGCTACAAACAGGGACACTCCTATCTCCAGGCTAATAGCCGCAAGGAGAAACAGCTAGAAGAAAGTTTGCCCACCCTCCGTCTTCCGCTCCCAGTTTTTATCCACCCCGTCACTTCTCAGTCACACACCTTTTCCTCCCCGCCTCTCGGGAATGCCATATGGACCGTTAGGCCGGCAGTGCAACAGCTGGAGAGCTTTCCACAGCCTAAGAACGGCTCCTGGAAGGTGGAGAGGAAGACAGAGACTGTAGGCGAGCAAGCCCTTTCGGTTTCTGAAGCCACTGTTCCGTTTACAGTCAGTTTCATTCTCGTTGCTTGTCCCCACCTCCCCTGTCTGCCACAGCATTTCCTGACATCATTCATTCTCTTGCATTCAAACACACGCCCACTCCATTTCCAAACACTGACTCACTCTAGCCCTGTCGCTGCTGCTATTCGAAGGCTGGGCTTGAAAAACCCGTTAAAGACCTCTCTAGAGGAACGGATATTTATTCATTTTTATTTATAAAGAGGGGCGGGGGAAAGCCCCATTCCAAGCAGAAGGGGGGGGGAAGGAAAATTTGGCATAGGTATTAAAATGAAGTCGAGTGGAAAAACTTCATTTTTTTCTAATTAACCGAGTTAGGAGATAAGGGTGGCGGAAGCCTGTTTAAAAAAATTCTTTGCCCTTCCACAAGCTACCTTAAAGAGACAAAACCCTTTTAGCATGAAATAGGGACAGAATTTCATCTTTGCAATGCTGCTGCTCTATTTTCAGAAATTTCCCGATTTTCTGTTCTTCACTATCCCTTTTCAGGGTTCACTTGAGTCCCATGTATTCTCCCTGTCCTTCAAACTTCCTTAGCTACAAATAAGTTTGTACATCAAAACTCTGGAATAATTTAGCTGTAGGGCTCAGAAGATGTACCTAATGGCCATTTAGCTCCTGCTTTCAGAGAAGTATTGAACAATTTGAACCGTGCCCTTCCTCTAGCCTACATTTTTAATTATGGAATCCAAAAGAAAAGTGCATCACATGACAAAGCTGTTTGAAACCAAAAAATAATTACTGTATTAGAAACAAATTAACGATAGACTTCCAGGCATACTTACTTGAAAGTAAACCCCACTGAATAGCAGAAGATAATTTAGGTACCGTAAGCTTGAATAAGACTTCATTTATTCAATTATTTATCAAACATGAGAATAGCATATATAGTAGAGGCGATATTGACATACAGATATATTGTTAGGGCTATTCTTGGCCATACAAATACTTAATAATAAATTAAGCTCTCACTGTTATTTTATCACCAGGCCCCAAAACCCATGTTTTCAAAGATATAAGAATGGTGTCCCCTTTATTTATTTTTTTTTTTTTAAAGATAAGATGGATCAATGTTCCTCAGTGTTTACTACATTTGAGCAATGAAGAGAAACTGGCTAAATAATAACAATGTTTGTAATAAAAAATGTTACCACTAACATACACACTTTAAAATTAAAGCACAACCCTGGCATTCTAAAAATGGCTCAGCCGTTCTGCACAATTTATAAAATACAGAACTACATAGGTAAACGTTTAGGGCCTGAAACAGAAAGAGAAGAATAAATATAGTCCTTGGGTTTTAAGGACTAGAAATACCCACCCCTCTGTGGGTCACAGCCTCCTTTTACTGTGGCTTTCCTAGAGTCGCAGCTGGCTCTGGTTTGCCCTGCTGTGCCAGCCATTGAGTCCAATGGATAGGCCCAGTTACCAAGGGCCTGCTCGCAGTGGGTCAGGGCATGTGCCTCATGGTTGCTTAGCAACCCCAGAAGATTTACCTCAACTGGCTTCCATCTGTAACCTGGGTCAGGTAGAGGAGAGCTTTCTTTACTTATAGTGAATAGCAGAGCTGCCTTTCGGCTTCCTCAGGAGAAAGAGGGCAAGCTTTGAGCAGAAGATCGTCTTAGTCACCAGGATAATTCAAACAAGTTCGCAGGAAGTTGCGGCTCATTTGGAAGTAACGGAACCAGTCACCTACATTTTTGGTTTGAGGCTGCTGGTTGTAGAAACGGTGTTCTTTATAAAGGTAGTCCTTGACTTACAAGGACAACTGAGACCAAAATTTCTGTTGCTAAGTGGGACATTTGTTAAGTGAATTTCTCCCCATTTTATGATCTTTCTTGCCACAGTAGTTAAGTGAGTCACTGCAATTGTTAAGTTAGTAACACAATCACTAAGTGAATCTGGCTTCCCCATTGACTTTGCTTGTCAGAAGTTTGCAAAAGGTGAGCACACGACCCTGGGTCACTTGAATCATCATAAATATGAGCTAGTTGCCAAATGTCCAAATTCTGATCACATGACTATGGGGATGCTGCAATGGTTGTAAGGATAAAAAAATGTTATAAGTCACTTTTTTCAGTGTCGTCGTAACTTTGAACAATCAGTAAACGAACTGTTGTAAATCAAGAACTACCTGTACAGGTAATCCTTACTAACAGACCTCAATTAGGATTGGCAACTCCATCGCTAAATGACCCATCTTTAAAGTGAAATATCACATAATGATGCTGACATGTATATCAATTCCAGCTGTGGCTGTGAAGCAAATCATTTATGGTCATTAAGTATGACACTGTAGTGGTCATTGACCATGCATTGTAGTTGTCAAGTGCCCAACTCGTCATCACATAACCATGGAGATGCTACAAGGCCACAACTTTGAAGACCAGTCATAAATCTAATTTTCAGTGCTATTGTAACTTTGAATAGTTATATGTTATAAACCGCTCAATGTTGCCTTGCACTGAGAGAAGAGTGACATATAAATTTGATAAATAAATAAAATAAATTGGAACAGTAGTCAATAAGTGAGGACTAACTGTACTGATTGTTTTGCACACACTTAGTTGTGATAGTTTAGACATCACTGAATAAACCACAATTGTCTGGGATGATGCAACATGTTAAGAAACCAAACACACATATCATAGCTTAAACTCTTTATCTAACTAACCTGCACAGTATCAAGAGAATATTTAATTTGTATGTTTTATATAATATGTGCAGATGCCCAGCCTGTGTAACTCTGATATTGTATTAAAGCAGAGTGAATTAACTAGCTGAAATGTCCCTTTAGTTGCAAATGTAGGCTTCTTCTCTTGGCATTTCCTGTGTTAGAAATGTGTTCATGGAAGTTACAAAAAATGTTTGGAGTCCAGAATATAGGCAAAATTCTAACAGATATCACATGATAGCAATTGTTCATAAATGTCATTGATAGGCTTTAAAATTATGGATGCATAATGTGGACTGAGAGATATTAAACATATCCATTTAATTATTCAACAATAATGCACAAAAAGCTGTATTCTGACCTCTCAATCAAAAGTGCTTGTTTGATCAGTTGGAAAGAAGGTCTTCTTTCTTTAAATAGTAATCATTTACTATAAACATTTTTCTTCCTCCCATTTAACTACTAGCAGCACGTCCCATGCTATTCTGTTGGATTTGTCCAAACTCTGGAAGCAGATTATGGAAAATAATACCTGAGAATATCTGGGGGTTACTGATCCCCCCCGTGCCAATTATTTAGTGGCAAGAAGATGGTTGTTTTTTCATAATATAAGGATTTTAATTGTCCTCCAGACAAGTAATATTATTTCACTAAATAACATATATAATTTACAACTAGTATTAGAAATTTCATGTATAACTTTCAAGAGAAATAATTGTTATCAATTTTTTAAAAATTGTGGCTTGTTATCTTCCAAACCAAAAATAAATTGCTATTAAATTACCAGAATTTGTATTTTTCTTAGTGCAAATATCATATACCAGTGAAACTTAATTAAAAGGATAACCCGTATCAAGTTTTAAAAGTTAAATATATTATACAAATCATCTTCAATCTAAGTCAAACTTTTCCATTAGTCTGTACTGAAGCAAACTGAATTAATTTTTCTAAAGGCATTTCTTTCAAGAGATCAGAGTGGCATAATTGGGGCAATACTATAAATGGACACAGTTGGTGCTTTAAAGTTATGAAGACTTCCAGAAAGATATCAAATCTCTGAATAAGCACCAAAATTAGAATGCAGGAGAAATACTATGTTTTTTTGCGAATGAAATTAACAATTGTACTGTTGTGACTTCATGTTTGCTACAATTCATCAGTTCAGAAAAATGTCACAGAATGTACCATTTTTACACCACTTCGATTTTTAGAAGTTTGTATTTGAATGTTTAATCAGACAACATCATCAATTTTCATCTCAGATATGATTTCCACTAAATAGTTAACAGAAACTCTCATTCCAGCATCTCAGGGATTAATGGACTTTTATCCTTAGAATAGTTTTGACACCTAAATACATATTATTCCTACCAACCTCACCTTAAGATAAGCAATGAATCAGAGGACAAAGATCATACAGGAAATCTCCATTACAGTTAACAGCTTAATCTTCTTTCCCTGCATTCTAATCCAACCTATTCAAATCACTATTTGCTCCTTTTTATCTGTTTATGATTTGTCTTCCAGAATCAGGAACTCAGTGAGCAGAGTTTTCATATTTTTCCCAAGGATATTTTCCTCTTGGAAATACTATTTCAAAAGTAGATTTTGGGGTGTGTGGTAGACACTAATGTTAAATCCTCTTAAATTAACCTCACTTCTCATTCTTCCCAATCTGGCCTACTTTACAAGTTATTTAAGGATGTCAGGACTTCAAAGGGATTTTTAAATGCTTAAGGCTGTATGTAACCTAAAAGGGCTATATGTCATCTTTGCGAGCTAGTCGATTATATTATATTATAGATCATTACTGTGCTGCTGCTGCTAATAATAATAATAATAATGATAATGATAAAGTTGGAAGGGATCTTGGAGGTCATCTAGTCCAACCCCCTGCTCAGGCAGGAAACCCTATATACCATATATTTTGACGTATAAGATGACTTTTGAGAGCGTTGAAATAGGCGCTGAACTCAGGGGTCGTCTTATACGCCGAGTCGTCTTATACGCCGGAAATACCGGTAGTTTCCGGCGTATAAGACGACTTTCTAGGCATGCGACTTGGCGCCAATCGTCTTATACGCCAGAAATAATGTAGTTTCCAGCGTATAAGACGACTTTCTAGGCATGTGACTAGGCATCTATCGTCTTGCGACTTGGCGTCGAAGTCGGGGGTTGTCTTATACGCTGTGTCACCCTATATGCCGGAATATACAGTACCATTTTGGACAGATGGCTGTCCAGTTTCTTCTTAAAAACTTCCAGTGTTGGAGCATTCACCGCTTCTAGAGGCAGGTTGTTCCACTGGTTAATTGTTGTAACTGTCAGGAAGTTTCTCCTTAGTTCTAGGTTGCTTTTCTCTTTGGTTAGTTTCCACCCGTTGCT